GCCGAGCTCGGGCACCGTCAGGTCCCGCTCACGGCTGTCCATTTTCTTCAGGTACTGGTAGACCAGGTTCTCCTTCTCCTGGGCAGTGTCAGCGTCGAGCAGCGCGTACTCGAGCTGTGTCTGGGCGGGCAGGAGCCCCGCCAGCCCGCCCGCCGCCATCGCCTCACCCGGGCGCTGTTTACCGGCCTGGCGCTTCACCGCCGCACATTCGGCACCGCCCGCGGCGCCAGGGCGGAAAACCGCGACTGAAAAAGAAAAAAAAACACAAAGCACAGACACTCAGTAACTCGTCTGTCTTAAAGCTGGACCTCCTCACTTATTCGCTGTTTTTACGTATCCTTGGTATCCACAGCAGCACATTCCCAGAGGGAGCCCACGGTGGCGATTCCCGCGCGGCAGATTCAGCACAGCCCGTGTTTCCCGCCGGGCTGCTTTAGCGTTTTTAAGATGTAAAAATTGAATAGCACCGGGAAAAGTCGAAAACAAGCTCCAGTAATTTAAACTGTGGCATTTAGGCTTTTTTGGGGGGCATATAATGGGAGACGCGGAGAAATTGAGAGGCAGCCGCGGTGACGAATCTGCGGAAGCGAATGCACGGCCGCTGCGGGAAACGGGCGAGGAGGCGGCACCCGCGGAATCGGCGGGATCCGGACATCCCGGGGAGCATCCCGGGACATTCGGGGGCACCGGGACATCCCAGGGAGCATCCCGGACACTCGGGGGCATCCCAGCGAACATCCCGGACACTCCGGGGCACCGGGACATCCCAGGGAGCATCCCGGACACTCGGAGGTACCGGAACACACCGTGGAGCAGCACCGGGACCCTCTGGAGGAGCATCACATCCCCCCTCACTCCTGGAGGACGCTCAGGAGGAGCATCCCGGGACACCTCCACAACGATCCCGTAGCTGAATTCTTCATCGTTTTGTTTGAAAATCTTCCTGCTCGGGCAGGAATCTTTAAAATCTTCCTGTCCCCGCCGAGGCCGAGTGGCGTTTGCGATGCCGGGGGGAAGCTGAAGGAAATGGCTCACCCTGGAAGGCTGTGCAGACTCGCACCCCGTGTGTCAGGAGAAATTGCAAATCTACAAAGAGACGCTCATTAAATTATTTTTGGGATAGGATCCACCATGCTCCTGTCCCATCAGGGACTGCTGCTTGGTTTGTGGCCCAGTGTTGCTTTTTTGACATGGGCTTCTGGAGCTTTTCCTCAGATAGTGAAGAGTGGAGGGAAGAGAAAATATATTAGCTGGAGGAAAGGCAAGTTTGGGAACTGTTGCTTAAAAGAGAGCGGAGTATTTAATGTGTTGCCATGTCTGATGATGCTTTATTGGAAGAGGACATTTGGGAGTACAAATCCATTAGGAGGCGAAAGCATCAGGGTAATTCACAGAGCACCTCTACTCCTGTGCAGGAAATAAGTGATGGCAAGGGCAGGCCAAAAAGAAAGAGAAATAGGAAAAAGAAATCCACAGAAAAAACTGATACACCTCAGAAAACCAAGCAGAGCTCACGGCCAGGTCAGGATGTGGATCAGTGTAAAGAAGACAGTAGTGTGCACTCCCAGGAAAGCGTGAGTAGCCTGGCAGAACAGAGCTCACAAAATGCAAAGCCCGTTCACGATGGATTCTGTCCCAGCTGCCAGATGCCTTTCTCTTTGCTGCTTGTCCAGACACCTCAGTGGCATGTCTATGAATGTTTGGAAACTCCAGGACCCATTGAAAAAGGTATGAATAGAGTAAGAAAAAAGCCCTCAGAGAAACTTTGCAGACTTCTCACGAATCGTTGCTGCAAAGTTGGCTTTTTTTAATTCAGCTCAAAATCTGAAATGGTAGTTGGTATGACTTTTATCATGCTTTATTATGTTGTTGTCAATCGGTCCTATTTTTGTATAAAATTTTTCTTCTTTGTGAAGAACATGGACATTTAACATGAAAATCTCCTTTCAGAATCTAATCTCAAAACTCTGAGAAAGTTTCACGACTATTTATCAAGTTTTAGTATTTCGTTGAACAAACTGAATGTGCATGTTTAAGATAATGAAACCTGTTACAATTACTCCATGTCAGAAAAGAACCTTCAGGCACAAGGGTGCTACTTTTGAGATCAAGTTTCTTTCTCTGTAGATACAGATTTTATTATCGTGTATCCATGTTGATAGGTGATTTGTTCAGTTGTGTATGGACATTTGGAAGCTGAAATATGCCAATTTGCTTGAAATGTTAGCTTGTGTGCCAGTATGGTTTAGAAATTTTATAGAGAAATAGAGATTAACATTCTTTTCTCATAAGACAACTGTTTTCATTTCTGCTCTATGCAAGAGGAAAAAATTGACACATTCCAAATTCTAGTTTCATGGAGAAATACTATATCTGAAGAGATTCAGGTATCTAATTTATGTCCTTACCTCATAACTTTTGTTAAACAGCATACAGTCAGGAAACGTGAGTAAAGGCTGTTTTAGGTAATGCAACCACTCTCCTTTTTATATTTTGATAACTTTTTTCAGAACAGTGAAATATAAGTCCTTTCATGCTGATTTTGGCAGTGCTTTTAATTTAAGGCAGGTGTTTTCACACCTCATTTCCATCTTACTCCTATAATTAACAGGTGAAAAATCCTTCTAATGCGTTTATGGGTTCACTTTAAAAGCCTGAAAAGTTAGGCTAGCAAGCTGTTAGTGGGAAGAGCTTAGGAAAGAGCTATGGATTTTTTTTCCTGGTATCTTAATACTGAATGTTTTCTTCATATAGGCAAATACACAACTTTTTTTCTTTATTAATATTTTCTTAGTGTGTAATATTAGACAACTTGAAATAGAATATCAGGTTAATTCAGAATTGAAGTTTGGTTTATTTGTTACTTATGTTTGAAATGTACTGGCTGCTTTTGGTGCTACTTCTCTTGAGCTTGTTGCTTAAATGTGAGACAGTTCTAAACAGGAAGCTGTGGTTACAGGAGTACATTATTGAAACAGGGTCAAGTATTCTTGTGGTTAGTGTGCTGCATAGCTCAGACATAGTGCTGTTTGAGCAGCAGCATTTGATTTTAGGCTGGAAGCATTCTCATTTCTCAGTGCAGAGCAAGAGGCCTTGGTAGCTTGAAAATTTCTTTCTCCTTGTGCCTTTTGTCCTCCAGCAGATGTACTTACAAGAAAAAGCTCCTAAATGTTATGTCACGTGTGATATTTATTTTACCTGTGCCGACAATACTTGCAAAGGTATTAACATTAAACCTTTGTTTAACTCTTTCCATAGAGTGTCCTGATGGTTTACTGTGCACCTCCACCATTCCATCTCACTACAAGCGTTACAGCCATTTTCTACTTGCAGCAAGCAGGGCAGGGGAGTATCTTGTGAACTCTTCAGAAACCACTGTGGAGATGAAGGTGACATGTTCTACTGCTGCAAAGCCCAGCTATTCCCCAGATTATGCAGAGGAAACCTCACGGAATGAGAAACCCTCTACTGAAATAAAGCATGTCCCAAGTGATGACTGCTCGTCAATGGTACGGAATTCAACGCAAATGAAGTCTCTAAATATAACTAGTGGGAGTATTTCCTTTTTTGCAGGTGTTGAAAAACCTCAACAGATGGAAGATAATTATTGTAAATTTGAATTTTTTGATTTTGCATCCTCTCAAAAAAGTGAAACAGGAAAAGATCTGTTTATTGAGAAAAATATGAGTCAGCCAAGTCTGCTACAGTCAGGAGTGGACTTCAATGACTGTGAAATTTCTTACTCTCCACTAAGTACATTTGAGGAAAGTGAAGAGGAAGAGGAGGAGAAAGTAAAAGTATCACAGAATAAATTATTCCAAATGCTGAAGTCAGAAGGAGACTCTAGTTCTGTGGCATTTAAAACATTTGATGGACCTCTCATACAGAGGAAGCCTCAGTATGAGCATACAAAAATGGAAAATTTCATTGCTAAAAAAACCCTCTGTGAGGAAGAAAATACACTGAACCATCTAGATCTAGATCAGCGAGGGGTGGTAGCCCGTGGGTCCTCTGTTGCTTCTAGTTGCAAGGAGGCTGAACAGCCAGAATTTATTTCCTCTGCTGGCAAAGCAGGAACCACAGAGTCAGAAGATGCTGGTGCTCGTGCTCTGGGTTCTGCATATGTGAGTTTTACTGAGACATCATCACTGCTAGACAGAGAAGGTGCTGGTTCTCGTCTGACACAGAAGAGTAATGTTTTGAGGGAGCCAAGTAGCATTTTAACTCATGCTGATAAAATGACTGCCAGTCCAATTGAAAAAACAGTTTGCCAGGAGAGTTTGCAGACAGCAGTGGAGAAAAAAGGAAATCTTAGTACAGCTGCTGTGTGCTTTTCCAGTCCCATCTCTTCTAAATCAGTGTCATCTCTTTCATTAGCATCTATGAACACTAAATCCAGTCCTGCCAAAGAACTTAAACAAATGGACATTGGTGTTTTCTTTGGGTTAAAACCCAAAGCAAAGGAGGAACACAAAGGAGAGCCATGTTTGAATGAGAAAAAGCAGATGCCAACCTCAATATCTCCTAATGGGAGGAGGCCCAGACAGCAAAAAAGGAAGGCTGAAGGGTCTGTGGAGGATGTGGAAGCAGCTACAGAAAGTTCAACTAAAAATGAAGCCATTGCAGATGTACCTCATGGTGGCCAACGAAGGTGGAGAAAAAAATTTAAAGAATTGCCTGCTACAGGTGAAGAACCAAGTAAAAAACACTGCCCCTTCTACAAGAAAATACCAGGTGAGAGGTAACTCGGTTTTTTAGAAATTTATTTATTTTGGCTAAGGTGTTGTGGTTTGTCCTGATTTTGGACTTTGGTGTTTTTATTCTTGATAACCACTTGCTTAAATTATTTTGAAGATATATCTGGTTGATACATGCTCCTAGTTCCTGAAATTAATTTTTTTGCATTGCTTCAGTTGTGCCAGAAAATAGTGCTGTCAATACCAATCATTTCTTTAACACTAAGTTAAAACAATTGAATTTAATTTTGCATTGGAAATTGAATAGTATTAGAAATATGATTTATTTCAACTATGAAAATGAAGGAAACTGAGTAGAAGAGTTTAGTTAAGAAAACACCCAAGAATTTCTCAGGGTCTCCTCACGCAATTAGGTAAATTAAAGGATAATGGTTCAGCATGTTAAAAAACCTCAGATGCTCACACCACTAAAGTTAGTTTTGAGTCTGGTACCTCTCAAACACTTTGAGGGGTTTTTGGTTAGGGATTTTTTGCTTAGATCAGACTGCTATGGTTTTTTTGACTTTAACTTCTAGCCTCAATTAAGTGTAACTATTTTCAGTTTTCCTAGAAGATCTGGGAAATCTGTGTAACAAAAAATGAAAAACATTTGAGTGCCACCAGTTAAATTAGTTCTGTGTACAGTTTGGTGGTTTTAAGAAAGTA